TACATGACATACTATGCACCTCTCTGATGTTTTTGTGTGACAGTCTTACATGTAATCGATGCTTTATACCTCCGTTGGTCTGCATCATCAAGCAATTGTCACTAGCCTCCATTGTCACGCGACCGTCACCATCCATTGTCAATCTGACCGTCGATGGTCTCAGCTAAGTTCAATTTCAATTGCTCTGTATAAATTTATTTGTCTGATTTCAAGGCTTGTTTCATAAATCTGTGTAACTGAGTGTTTGATTTCTAGTTTTGATCTCAGATTTCATAATTGATTTGTGTTTCGATGTTTGAATCTGATGATGGGGTGGATGGTGGTGGTGAAGAAGACGGTAGATGGCTTTCTATGGACGAGAGGGGAGTGACAGACATGAAAAGGAAATGGAAGTTGCAGGTTTGGATTTGGATCCTACACTAGGTTCTCATCGGAAGTTGCAGGTTTGGATTTAGGTTTCTTTATATTCCAATTGTATATGTTCGTATCTCCATCGGTAAGTGTTTGGATTTTATCCCCATGTTGAACAAGTTTTCATCCTTAAGTTTTGCAATTTGGTTGTTCGCGAAGCCTTATCGAATGTTTAACTTTGTCAGCATTTATTTTTTTGTAATAAACTTGCATATGGGTTGTATTTAGGTTTTTTGCTTTTAGGATTGTAATTGTGTTTTGTTTTTTGTTAACAGAGGTTTGATTTATGTTTCGTGGAAGAGCTCGGTTTGAGCATGCTTGAGCACGTTTGAGCATTATTTATGGGTTTTTTAGAGTCGCAAGAAAGGAATCCAAGAAGGACGAGGGGGAAGGGGAAAGGAGAGAGGGTATGGGTGTGGGTGAGCCCTAAATATTATATAATAATATAAATAGTTATATACAAAAAAAATATAAAAAAAAAATAGATAAGGGTTGTATGGTCATTTCATATCTGGAAGGGACTAAATGTGAAACAAAACCTAAGGACAGAGATGTTTCGAGTTAAAAAAAAAAAAAAAAAGTTAGAGACTAAATGTGCAAACTAACTAAAACCACATGGATCATCTGCGTAATTTACTCAAGAAACATAATCAGATGAACCTTCCACCACCAATTTCTTATATCTATATCATAAAAGAGGTCTTGATTAGAGTAATGTAATTATGTATTGTTTTTTGCATCAAATTCCATAAAGAAGCGTGATTACAGTATGAATCCTGAAAGTTTGATTATTTTGTTATTACATGAAAACTCCATATTCAACATTTTGATGTGAATAATTACAATTAAACAATATGATTGCAAAAATCACCCAGACTTGCATTTAGTCTTTGTGGGAGTGGGAGTGGGAGTGGGAGTGGGAATATGATGAATCAATAGGAGGGAGGAACTTGGCATAGCGTTCTGACTTTGTGCCTGATTTGTGATCATAGTACTCCACAACTGCAGCTCCGGCTAATGCTGCCAATGTCAGAGCCTGTGCATGCAACCTAAATCAAAACCAAATCACACAGATTGGTGAACAATCAGGGATGCGATTTTAATTTCCAATCAAGTTTTATGATTCTGATTTCATGATTAATATGTAGTGTAGGGTAATTTCATTTGGATAATTAGGCAAGAAATCCTACACCCAAACCCCCCAAAATGTTTGATATGCTGCATTTAGATCCATGGAATTGAACTTGTAATACAAAAAATCAATTTAGAATGAAAAGTTCCAAGCAATTTGTCAGGTGTGCTAGAGCTAGGGTTTCGTTTCTTTAACCCCTAATCCCCTAATTTATAATTCATGTCCAAAATTAGGGCAAACCAGAAGGTTGATTGTTAGAAAGAATAAGTAAGATTACCTTGCGTGAATGATCCTAACGCTGGTTTTCATGCCGGGTTGAGACCAATTGTAAGCGATCGATCCAGCAATACCACTTAACCACAAAGACCCTATCAGATATCAAATCTAGCATAAGAATTTAACCGAAAAGCACCAAAACATAAGGAAGATAGAACGACGTGATCATCAAAGTTTGAAATAATTACCAACAGCTCGAAGCTTATGCTCAACGACCCATTCGCGCATGCTCTGAATTTTGGACTTGGTATTAGAATCCGACATATTCGTTTTGTTGCAGAGATCGATTATGGAGAGGGTATAGTGTAGATTGATTATGCAAAGAGATGATTAGAAAGAGGTTGAGGAAGAAATGTAATGTTATATATTATTCTTACAAGGAAAGAGAAAGAGAAAGAGAAAAGGAGTTTGATATCTACCACCCCACGAGACGGTGGGCGGGAGACCAAATGTTTAGCAGACGCCACCGACCTTTACTTTTAATAAAAAGACTAAATTACATTTTTTTTCTCCATACAGTTTCAATTTTTTATCTAAATTTTAAAAAATAACATGTATGGTCTTTCTGGGTTTAAAATGCTATCCTATTAGTTCTTTTGACGGTTACCGCAATAATAGTCTTTAACCAGGGGGTAAGATGATAAATTTACACCTTCTTTTATTTTTTACTTTTTGTTAATTTGTCTCTTTTTTACAAATTTTGGGGAACATTTTTTGTAAATTATATGAAAACTCATATATGAACCCTAATTTAGTAGATATGTTGTTTACACCTTCTTTTATTTTTTACTTTTTGTTAATTTGTCTCTAACTGTTCACTCCACCTCATCTCTTTGTCATTGTCGGCAACTCCAACAAAGACAATCAGGTCACCAACATGCGAACCCAACTCTGGCATTGAAGTAGATATGTTGTTTCGTTTCATGGTGATGGTGAATCACACGTAACCTATGTTTTTTCTGTCACCTCATATCCTGTGTTGTCAGCTCTTTGTTGTCTCTTCTCCTCTGCCACCCATATATTTACTATGTCATGTCTTAAATATGGTGCGATTGCGGCTACCTTTTAAGCCTTGCCTCATGTGCATCATTGTACATCCCATCCCTTCTATGTCCTTCCCTTTCAAGGCTAGGTTCAAGATCTGCTACCATTATGATTTAGGGTTAGGGATAGCTTGGGTGCAAGATCCTGATTTTGATTTGATCTTTAAGTTATAGAGTTTACCTTAGTTTTACTTTTATGTTGGGGATTTCAATTTGGTTTTGATTTTAGGTTAGATATTTGAATATTGTGGTGGCGGATAACAATTTTAGGTGGTGTTGGTGTGATGGGCGGCAGTATTAGATGGTGAAACTCTAGCCCCATTTGAGTGTCTTGGGAGATCTTGAGCCTTGAGTGGATTGTTGGTGAAGAAACGTAGCATTTGGTGCATTAAGGAGTTTGTTTCAGAGAAGATCCAATCTTCTACATTGTTTTCAGACCTCTATAAGTGATCAATATACTTGCTTTATGTGTTTTCATGCTAAGATCTAGAATGTAGATGTGTTCTTAATCTTTTTGGTCTTTCTGTTAGAAGATTTTGGAGTTTGGAGAACTCCAAAACATTAAACTTGTCATGCATGGATTTTTGGACATTTCTACGACCTTTAATGCATGTTTGGGGCTCCTTTGGAGCCATACAAGGAAGCAAGTCTTTTTGGAGCTCATTTTGAGTTAGGGTTTGAGTTTGTGAAAGATCGATCCTTGGATCTAGATAAAGTGGGAAGCTTTATCCATTATAATTCTTAGGAGATTCAGATCTGACGTTTTTGGCTCTGGACTTAATAGATTAAGAGCTTAATGAAATATTGATGTTCTAACCGAAATTAGCGACGCGACACTTAGGGTGTCACAACGCGAGTCGCGATAGCCAATCACGATTGTTTTGTCATTTAGCGTTAGCGACGCGACCAATAGATGGATCGTGAAGCGTTGAGCGTTGACTTTGTAACCAAATTGACTTTTGGTCAAATTTTGAGGGATTTAACTTATAGACTAGGGTTTGACCTCTAATTGTTATCTAGGTAGTTCGTGAGACCGATTCTGACGAGTGCACATATGTAGCTATTTTAACGTCCCAAAAACACTGAGTAAAAATTTCATTTTTAAATAAGTCAAACCATTCATTCACTGTTCCAAAAGACGATTGCAATCAAAGTATTCTCAAAACATTAGAGTAATATCATAAACAGTTAATGCAAAATAAATATCTAGGAGATGTCCTTCCTTTTGAAACCAGAAGTACCTGAAAATATTTAAAACATAAACCGTAAGCACAAAGCTTAGTGAGTTCCCCAAAATAACACACATTAAACATACATAACAAAACGAAGTTAAACTGTGTCTATTTCACCCCTGAGTCTATTTCAACTCCTTCGGTATCTTTCAACCGGTACTGGGTCTATTTCACCCCCTGAGTTTATTTCAACTCCTTCGGTATCTGAATCTATTTCCACTTCTTTGGTATATTTCAACCGGTATTGGGTCTATTTCACCCCTTGAGTCTATTTCAACTCTTTTAGTACCTTTCAACCGATATTGGGTCTATTTCACCCTATAGTTAAGCATACAGTCATATCAGCAAGAGTCATAAACACAACAAGCATATACAGGCATATCAACAAGTGTCACAAAGGCAACTATCACCCTACGAACATAATCTAGTGGGCCAGTATTGGTGTCATCGCCCCACGAGTACAGTGAAGAGCCTCACCTAAACTATTCAATAGAAACCCAACAACTACCTCACCAACAGAACAGCCAAACCAAGTTTTCTAAAGCCAAACCGAAACCAATCCTTAGTCAAAGCTAAGGTCAAAATTGCTAACTATAGCCCTCCACGTCGTGTCCTTCCTTGGCCACGTCGTGGGCACAAAACGCCAAAACAGTCGTTGATTCCCCAGTCCCCACGTCGTGGCAGCCTAAGGCCAAGCAGTGAGGACTGGTCTGAACAACTCAAACGATCTTAATCCATTTTCTTCTGATTTCAAGAGCTCCAAAGCTAAGATCTGATCCTATCCAAGGTTTTAATGGATAAAGTTTCTAACTCGCTCCATTATGATGGTCCAGACCACCAAGATCTCGACTTTAAGTCTCAAGGGGACCCAAAAATGCATCTTTCTTAACTTAATCTATTAAGTCCGAGTCTCCAACTTTTAGATCTAAATCAACAAGATGTCTAGATGGATAAAGTTTCCAAATTTATCCATTATAATGCCACAATATTTCAAGATCTAAATTTTAATACATCAAAATGGCCTAAAGGACCAAGATAACTAGCATGGAAAAAAGGGAAGGAAAAAAATTATAGCTTTCCTAGACCATGAGGTCTGTGAAGCATCCTAAACTGATCAAAAGATGTTGGAGTCCACTCAACTCCAGGATCACGAATAAAATGGACCAAAAGTGCCAAAAACCCCAAGTTAGCAAGATTGAGACTTTATACTTACAATAGTCCGGAAATGTAGTGTCTTTTATGGATCTAAACTTAAATCATCATTCCTTGCAACCAAAAGATCCTTCTTGATCTTTAACTTCATCAAAATATCATAAAAAGCACCCAAAAGAAGAGAGATGAGAGAAGAGAAGCTCAAATCTTGGAGTAAAAGGGTAAAATGGGAAAAGTGATGTTTCAGACTTCCTTCATGGATTATGGTTTTTAGTTCGACATGTGTTAAGCTAAAATTGACTAGATAGAAGTGTGGGTTCGTCAATACCTTTCTATGGATATAAAGTCTAAAATGGTGTTGAAACGAAGAAGTTATGCATGTTTGAAGTTGAGGTGGATTTGGGTGAAAACCGTCGCCACAGAGTGGGGATCAGAGCCCACGGCGTGGCAGTCGCCATGGAGTATGGATTAGAGCCCACGACATGGCAATCTGTTAGACCCAAACCCATGATTTTAGGTTTTTCAACGTATTTAAGCATAATGTTCCATATTTTTGGGCATTTTAGCAGCCTCCACCACCTCTAGGACCCTTTGGGTCTAACCATATCTCATCGAAGTTCAAAGCCTTTACTTGATCCATTTATTATCCACAATCCCGAAATAAGAAACTTCTCGAAACAGGATGTTACAACTCTCCCCCACTTAAACTAGATTTCGTCCTCGAAATCTTTATTGGTTAGGATATTTGAAAACAATGCCAACATATTCCACAAGCTCCTTCTAACCACTTTTAAATCAATGCATCAATACAGAGAAGTCAAAAGATCACTCGGAAACCCATGATTGTCAGGAAACCACCCAATAACTTGAAAAACACTCAACCGCAACCACTATCCTCCTATCCTTAACTATAAGATCCAACTTCCAGGTAGAGCCACTCAAACCAGGAACTCTCAAAACTACAACCACAAGCCACCCCATCAATATACTTCCTAGAACCGGGAACCCATTAGTCTAAACTTCAGAAACCATACCCTAAGACTGATGATCATCCATTTATCGTACCTACCCCTAGTTTCCTAACTAGGAACGCCACCAAAACCTGCAGAAAGAATACTCAAAATATTCTGATCATGAATTTCACCCAATCCTAAATCCGGAAATTGTGCCCAAAACCTTAATACACACTTGACTTCATGACAAGTCATCACCAACTCGCTGCTCCCACGAGCATAATGATGGTCAAACCAAAAAATATCACGTTGCACCCAAATCCCTCATCATCTCAGGTGTACATCCACCTAACAAATCACTCGAGACATTTATAATGAACCTCGTGACTCGATATTTCATAACCAATACCCAACATTGGTAATCAACTCCTAATAAACAACCCGCAAGCAAACGGGGGTACATAATGTAAAGATATAGCAAGAGAATCTAATGCATAATTAATACTCCCAACAACCTTTTACTATCTACATGATCCAAATCAGCTGGTCACTGAGTCTCTTGACTCCCAACAATACACTAACACCTGAACATGACAATAACACTAACGATCCAAGAACTAAGAGTCTCAATAAAATGACCACTGGTCCCTACTCACATGAATCATGAAAGCGTTGCTTTGTGATACACCGTGACACCCTCTAGCCACCAGAAAAATAAGCTCACGGTATCATGTCGATCTTGCCGTCGTTCCAACACTGTCCTGAGATCTCACGACCAGAACCACAGTAGCCTGTAGGTACTCAACCATCGACCCACCGACTTGCAGTATCCCAATAAATATCCCTCTTGACACAACACCATCCATACCTTCTATAACACACAATTCCTTTCACATTTCCGGCTGATACCAACACAAAACAGACGAAAACATGGTCGCACACAACCAGGGAATGAGATAGGCGGTTGTATTATTGTTCCAATTCAAAGGTTGTAACCCAAATAAGAACCATGCAAATAATTCGAGGCATGTGTTTTCATATTATCTTACTCAGTCCACATAT